GCAGACAAAAACCTTTCCAAGCAAGCGTGGGATACCAAGAAGACCGGGTCCAGGCCCAAATCCTGTGAGGTCCCCGGAATCAACATCTTCCTATCAGCCAACCAGGAAAACACTACAGCCCTGATCCCCGCCACCCACAACACTGGGGCTCCCTCCCCGCTCCCTACCCTGCTGGACCCCGAGGAGCCCACCTTCCCCGCGCTGAGCAGCTCCAGCAGCACTGGCAACCTCGCGGCCAACCTGACGCACCTGGGCATCCGCGGCGCCGGCCAGGGGATGAGAACACCTGGGTCCTCTCCACAGCACCGCCTACCCGGCGTTAGCACCCTGTCCCTGAGCACAGAGACGAGGCATCAACAGGCGTCGCCCACCCTGTCCCCGCTGTCACCCATCATCACTCTGCTGGAGCAGTTCAGCATGATGGAGAACGCCATCAGCTCCAGCAGCCGGCACAGCCCCGGCTCCACTCTCAACTACTTGCAGGCGGCCATGATGGGCCTCACCGGCAGCCACGGGAGCCTACCGGACTCGCAGCAGCTGCGCTATGCCAGCCACAGTGGCCTCCCCAACATCATCCTCACAGTGACAGGAAAGTCCCTCCCCAGCCTCTCTGAAGAACTGACCAGCTCTCTGGCCGGGGTCGGCGACGTCAGCTTCGACTCCGACAGCCAGTTTCCCGGGGATGAACCCAAGATCCACCCCCTGACCCTCGACGGACTGCACATGCTCAACGACCCCGGCCTGGTTCTGGCCGACCCAGCCACCGACGACACCTTCCGGATGGACCGCCTGTGAGCGGGCACGCCCGGCACCCTGCCGCTCAGCAGTCCCGACGGCGCCTCCCCAGCGGAGGGGCGCGCATGGTCCGCCAGCGCTGTAGGCCGCGGTGCATCTTCCGACTGTTTGTCCAGCTCTCACTGCCTTCCTCGGTTCCGGGTTCCCCAAGCCATCCGACACCCCCAGCCAGTGGTCAGATAGAGAGTGCGCCCCACACGCCGCCCCAGAGAGGAGGCGCTAGAGCACAGGGCAGACGCAAAGTGAAATAAACACGATTTTGACGGCAAAAAAAAAGAGAAAAAAGTTAAAAAGCAATAATTAACTTGGAACAGAATTAAAGCAAATAGGTTTTTTTTCCTGTATTTCATGGTCATGTTTATTTGCTGAGAAAATAGTATTCTTCCTTATGCTTCAGACAGACTATTAAAACCAGTAATATTATATAATGTGCTTTATATATTTGACTTCTTTGGCAAAGAATAATTTATTGCTTATGTGTTTTTTTTGTTTGTTTTATATTTGTTTTGTTTTATTTTGTCATCTGCCCTTTGTATAGGCAGAGTCTCTCCTTCCATGGTATGTAGCAGTCTTAAAGCCATAAAATAACATAGGCACAATTTTGATAGCAGTAGGTAAAATTTGTTTCTCTACTGTCACTAGTCATATATTTATTCATTTATTCTTAAAATTTTCTCAAAAATATTCCTTGGGCCGGAAATTCTGAATGGAATTTTAGATGCAGAGATAAATAATATTAAATTGGAATGCGAATATACAAATATGTAAATAGCTATGATGTTATATAATGTGGTCCATCTCATAATACATGCACATATAAAGAAAACCCATCACTGTGAAGGGTGTTTCTGAAGTCTTATTCAGAATGAGAGCCACTGGACAGAGAAGAGGGCAGAGTAGTGATTGGACTGGTTAAATAAGGAAGGGAAAGTGTTGGGGACAAGGGACTACTGGAGTTTTGAATGTGTGCATGAAGGAGGAAAGGTAAGTAATGAAAGAGAATGACATTTATCATTCCCTATCTGTTTGAAATACAAAAATTGTGCCCTTCCCTTTAAAGTAGTACTTCTACAATTATTGTTGATTGTCAGTACTGTTATTGTTAAATATTAATTCTATACTTTTCACTATTACAGCGATATATTTTATGCTTGGTTAATATCCTTCCAATGTGAATGACAGTTTCTTATGATGTTTTGGATTTTCTTAAAATCTGGGTATAGAACAGAAATCTGAATGCTGACAACATTTAGTACCAGAAGTTATCATTAGCTCTTAAATAATGAGTAAGTGTCCCCATTCCTCAACTCAAAAAAATTCTCAATCTTTAAATACTATTTCTTAAGGCTAATACTGCAGTGATATAGTGAGGAACTGCCTTAAATATAATTCCTCAAGTTCATACCCAGTGTTTTTCTGCCTCTACACTCTCCTTGGGTAGAAAACTCTGTCTTCTACTTAGCTTCTGTTAGAGGTAGGCATTTCTTTCTCTGGGAAGACCTATAACTTGTACAGATATGACAGAAGATTATTGTGATAAAAATTAAATAATGAGAATATGTAAATCACAGGAAAGTATGTCATAAAGGATCCTCTAGTCCTTTCTAAATGAGAAACCCATCTTTAACCTGCTGAGAAGGTAGAAATTAGTTAGATGTTGTGTATGTATATGGAGACAGAAAAAGGAAGTATCTTTGCCACTTTTTGGAACTTTCACCTTTTTACTTTCAACTAATGGAATAAATGATTTGCTGGAAATTAAGATGTTTAACTTAAATTATGTAGTTACACATATACATAATTTTAGAATATATACATATATAAATAACTTTAGACTATTGTTCACTGTTCTTAAATTCTAAGGGTAGCTATGAAAACATTCCCTATTGTGACTTTTGAATTCCTTTGAGATCAGGGAAATAGGTACCTAGAGAAATGTCCAGAATACATATCATGGTCTTACTGAAATTAGGAAAGGAAAAAATGTTCACACTGTCTTCCGCTTTCAACAATGTTTTCAGTAAAGTAAATTTATCCTGACAGAAATATAAGTAAATATTTTGACTATATTTAGCATATGTATGATACACCAAAAATTGCATTGTAAAGTTTGGAGGTGGTTAAATAGCTACTCACATTTGGCAATAATATGTCTAGATGATATGAAGCAGATAGGTTCTGCTTGCTATCAAATGGACTTTCCAGCAGTAGAGAAGAACTTAGCAAGAAATTCTTGAGCATTTTTAAATCTCCTTACCGCTTTTATTTATTTCCACTGAAACTCTTGGTACAAAAAGAAGAGAGGCATTTTGTTTAATTAGGATTAAATTTATTATTGCTAAGATTTTAATTCTACTTACTATCAAGTATGGAGGCCTGTTTTCTGTTTGAACTAAGAAATACAATCTGTATTTTAGGACAAAAAGAGTGCTGGCCTTGAAGCTGGAGGACATGAGGACTGTTAATTTTTCCTCCTCCCCTAGTCAGTACAGGTCAAGTGACTCAGATCAAAGACATCCAAGAAGATGTCTAAGGTGAACAGGCGCAAAGCCTTCAGTTTTGGGACCTAACTCTCTGGCATTCACTGCCTTTTATCATTTCTTAAGTGAAAATAAAAGAGTAAGATGAATCAGTTAGCTGTAATTTTGTATGAATTCTTTCATCTCCTTATCACACCATTCCTAGCTAATATAAGGAATTCTAGAAACATAGTCTTGGTTCCACTGCAAGGAAAGTAGATATGAAATTCTGGGTACCCAAGAATAGCAAGAGGATTAAGAGTCACTGGATTACTGTCTGTCTATAGGGCTGCCTGAATCATACTGTGGTAGTCATGGTAGTGGTAGGAAGGAGTTGGAATGGATATTGGTATTGACATAGGAAACTTATAATACTGAACTTTTTCTATATAAGAGGCTTGTTTTAGAATTTGTCTTGGATTTTGTAATCAGATTGTATGTACATAACTAACTACTAAACACCCACTCATGTCTTGTGACGGTCATATTTAAAGATAATTATTGGAAGCCTTTTAGAGAGTCCCTAAATTACAGATTGTATTGCAGAAGCTTATAACTTAGTGAAATGGAGTTTGAGGATATATTTACTTCTTGGAACAGAGTGATACTGAGTATTGAGATTTTCTACTCAAAACGTACAAGATACTTTATTCTATTCATATATGTTATATGATATATATTCATGGCAGCGTAAGAAAATAAAACTTTGAATCTACTTTTGAAGTGTTTCAAATTTTATGTGAGTATTGAATAATACTCTATAGAGGCTAAGAGTTATAAAAAATAATAGTTTTATATGTGTATTTTTAACATCCATATATTCCTGCATAAGTCAAATGTTGATATTTCTTCCCAATGTTTAGACATCATTAATAGAATATTAATATTAATATTAATGATATTTTATATCAAGGACACAGATTCTTTAATACTGGCTTGTCTTTTTTTAGAAACCATATTTTTTTCATTAGACATGCATGTTTGTTTACACAAGAAAAGCAAGGTGAGGGAAAATATAATTATTATCTTTTAAACAATATCAAGAGGACTGAAGAATATGGAAGACCAGATTTGCCACTTTCCGGGTCTTGCCCTTCTTTTATCAATTCCTATATAAAAAAAACACATTACTCTGAAATGTATTTCCTTGGCAACTATTTAAATTACTCTGACTTTCTGCTACTTGTAAAGATACACTTTCCAAGAAAAACTTGATTTTTAATAGTTTCTAAGCACTGACTTCTAACCTGGACCGAGGCAACCTTCTTACCCTACCCTCAAGCAACACAGTGGATCTCCTGGGAAGCTGCCTGGACTATTTCACATTATGTTAAGGAGAGGCAGAAGAAGCTAATTATGTGTGTAACTTCTAGAAATAGGCACAAGAATATAAAGCGTCCTTATTGTTGAGGTTACTGACTTCAACCAGGGTTTTCTGTGGAACTTACGTGAGCAGTTAATGCCTGACTAAATAGACCCATAAGCCTTTTGCTATGTTGAGCAGTTAATTCAGTTAAGTAAATAGTCATTGACATCTCAGTGCCAGATACTAGTGCTAGGGATGAAGTGATTAAAAGTGACAGACCTTCCCGCCTCCCCTCTCTCGCTGCTAACAGCATATGCGTCCTCCCAGCTCTGCCTTTGCTTCAACTGCTATGCGGGCTTGTACGGCGTCCGCCTAGGTCTGCGGGTTGTGCTTCCGGTACGAAGGTCAGGGACAAGATGGTGCAGGTGTCTCCGCTTATCAAGCTCGGCCGCTGCTCCTTCTTGTTCCTCGGCATGGCCTCCAGAGCCACGCACTACAGTTACCTAAAACCTCGGGCAGAAGAGGAGAGGAGGATAGCGGCAGAGGAGAAGCAGCAGCAGGATGAACTGAAACGGATTGCCAAAGAATTGGCAGAAGCCCAAGAGGACACCATATTAAAGTGAGTGACCCTCCCAGCCCCTCTTTGGAGCAGCAGCGGATGAATAAAGCTTCCTGTGTTGTAGGATTGAAAAAAAAAAAGTGACAGACCTTCTTCGAACGTCTCATTATAATTCCTAAATATAATGCTGAAGATATAGGGGATAGGAGCAATTGTAAATGTATGTTTAATGCACAAAAAGAGTACTTGGAACAATTGACTCTGGAAGTAACGAGGAGAATGTGAAGCTGAGTTGAAAGACCTATAGGAACTCATTATGAAAAGTCAGGAGATGGACAATTACAGGCCAATGTAACAGTGTATTATATACAAACCTGTAACAGTAAGGAAGGCCCAGGCATGGTTAAAGCACTCTGAGTGGTTTGTACGCCTGAAGTGTAACCATGCAGGGCTAAGGGAAGGCCGAGAGGTTGTGGTAAAGTAACTACCTGGAACTCTTTCCTGGGGACTGCGAAATAGTTCAGAGTTTTAAATAAGAAAGATGCAGGTAAATACGCATGCTGGAATGCCCACCGTCTCAGCAGAACGGTGAGTGGGTTAGGAGAGGAACGCAAAGGCTGATTTGAATTAGGCCTAGAGTCATGCATATGATTTTCTTTTTGAAAAAGAGACTTATTTCTTTTTATAATTAAATAAAAACTGCATATATTTATGGTTTACAATGATATTTCGAAATATGCATACATTGTGGAATGGCTAAATTGAGCTAATTAACATATGTATTACCTCATATCCTTATTTATTTTTGTGGTGATAACACTTAAAATATACTCTCAGTGATCTTTAAGACTATAATACATTGTTATTAACTATAGTCACCACATTATACAACAAATCTCTTAAACTTATTCTTTTTTTTTTTTTTTTTTTTAGAGACGGGGTTTCGCTCTTTTTACCCAGGCTGGAGTGCAATGGCGCGATCTCGGCTCACCGCAACCTCCGCCTCCTGGGTTCAGGCAATTCTCCTGCCTCAGCCTCCTGAGTAGCTGGGATTACAGGCACGCGCCACCATGCCCAGCTAATTTTTTGTAGTTTTTAGTAGAGACGGGGTTTCACCGTGTTGACCAGGATGGTCTCGATCTCTTGACCTCGTGATCCACCCGCCTCGGCCTTAAACTTATTCTTATCTAACTGAAATGTTGCACCCTTTGGCCAACATCTTCCCCAACCTTGCCCACACCATCCCACCCCTGGTAATCATTATTCTACTCTCTGTATCTGTAAATTCACACTTTTAAGATTCCAAATATTAGTGAGATCATGCTATAATTGTATTTCTGTATCTGGCTTATTTCACTTAACATAATGTCCTTTAGTTTTATCCATGTTGTCTTGAATGACAGAAATTCTTTCTTTTCATAAGGCTTAATAATATTCTAGTGTGTATCTATATCACAGTTTCTTTATCCTTTGATACACTGATAGGCACTTAAGTTGATTTCATATCTTGATTATTGTGAATAGTGCTGCCAAAAACACGGAAGTGCAGATATCTCTTGGACATAATGATTTCATTTCTTACAGATATATGCCCAGTAAGTGGGATTGCTGGACCATATGGTAGTTCTATTTTTATTTTTTAGGACCCTCCATACTATTTTCCATAATGACTGTACTAATTTAAACTTCCATGCATCTGATGTTTCGTTATGATGATATTACATGATAACTAAGGGGGAATATTGAGATAAAATAAGGAGATGAATACAAGAGACAGTTAAGAGACTGACTTCATAATATTGGCAACAGATTGGAGGTTGATTAAACCTCAATGTGCTTGTCATACTAGCAAAAGAGGAACAGACTTGTTTTATTTATTATTTTTGTTTTTGATTCTTTTTTTGAGACAAAGTATTGTTCTGTTGCACAGGCTGGAGTGCACTGGCATGATCTCAGCTCGCTACAACCTCTGCCTCCCAGGTTCAAGCTATTTCTGGCTAATTTTTGTATTTTTAGTACAGACAGGGTCTCACCATTTTGGTCAGGCTGGTCTCGAACTCCTGACCTCAAGTAACCTGCCTGCCTTGACCTCCCAAAGTGCTGGGATTATAGGCGGGAGCCACCGTGCCCAGCCAGACTTATTTTATAACAACTTTATTGAAGTAAAATTGGCATGCAATTAACTGCACGTATTCCAAGTGAACACTTTGGTAAGGTTTAGTAAAATGTATATACCTGTGAAAACATAACCAAATTAAAATAGAGAACACATCCATCACCACTACAGGTTACCGTCTGCTCTTTTATAATTCTTCCCTGAACCCTCCCCATGCCCCCATTTATTTTCTAGAGTTTGTGTAAATGGAATTATACAGTACATGTCCTATTTTTCCATTGGCTTCTTTCATTTTGCATAATTTTTAAAATATTCAACCATGTGTGTATATCAGTACAACAGCTCATTCCTTTTCATTGCTGACTAATCTATTATATGAACATACCATATTATGCTTATCCATTCATGGGTTGGTGGGCATTTGTGTTGTTCCAGTTTGAGTCTATTACAAAAAAGCTCCTATGATATTTATAATCAAATCTTTGTATGTACATATGCTCTATTTTCTTTTGGATAAATGCCAAAAATAAGAATGGTAGCATCATTGGTAGATGAATATTTAATTTAAAACCAAAGCAAACAAAACTGCAAACTTTTCTTTAAAAAGGCTCACTATCTATATTTTGTTGTTCAATATATGAATGTTTAAGTGTCTGCAAATATATATCAACATATGTTTTGATTTGTTGTTTTTTTTTTAATTTTAGACGTTCTAATAGGTATGCAGTGATATCTCATTGTGCCTTTGATTTGCATTTCCCTAATGTCCAATGGATGTTGAGCATCTTTTCATGTGTCTATTTGCCATCTATATATCTTTTGATGCTATCTCTTCAAATTTTGGTCCCCATTTTGTATTTGAGTATTTTTGTTTCCTCATTATTATATTTGGATAATTATATTTGGTTGGGGAGAAGATGAGTTACGTCATACAGTGGGTTTTTCTTTCTTTCTTTTTAATGGCAGGAACTCTGTAAGTCTTATGCTATGAGTGGATGGAGAAGAGTTCATGTTTCATCTATATAGATGTTAGATGTTGTGCCGCTTATCAACACAATGCACTCAGATGGGTAAATAGTGTTATGGTCCAAAACGTTAATTAAATTGTGAACTTACTGAATTTTATGTATGTGTGTGCTTTCAAGTGACAGTTTTCCAAAATAAGAGATATGTGGATAATTTAACCTTAGGAAAGTGATGAAACCAAGCACAACTATACTAGTCACAGTTTTTCTTATATTGGAGAGTCCGAGTACATACAACTACCACCTACCAGATGTTTTCTCTCAGATAATCCTTATACACATATTTCTTCTGTATCCTTGGAATTCTTTACTAAGGTTACAGTACTAGACTACATCAAAGCTTTATGATCCTTCTTTTTTCCAGCCTTCAATTTTTTCCATTATATTGCATAAAAGCCCTACCGTCACAAGATGACAATCATATACTAGTTGCTTAATTCCTCTTTTGTCTAAGCAATGTAATGTTTTATTCTATTTAAAATATACAAGTCTTCAGAAAGCTCTTAGGAAGATTTAATTGTAACAGAAGACTGATATGGGAAATGGTTTTAGATATATGACTTTTTATGTACCTTTTAAAATTGCCTTTTATATATGTAGCTGTCTGCCTATGTGTAGGGTCCTCTCATTTCACAATGTTATTGATACTTTTCTCTTCCTTATTTCTTTTATTTATAGCCATTTATTATCAATCCTTGTGACATTATTCAAGAGGTAGAGGAAAATGAATAGTTTGGAAGACAGGGATCTAAGGCCCCAATTCACCACTGTGATATTTCTTCAATGTTTCCAGAACATTAATTTGGGCTAACAATCATATTTAATAAAATGGTGTTAAAAACAAAGTTTTCTAGATTTTAAAATTATTTATGAACTTGAAATATATTTGGAGCATTTGAAACATCAACTTTTTGTAAACTATAGAATCAAAAACTAAATACTAGACAACTACTAGAAAATAAGTTACTGTGGATGTTATGCTTTAAATTGTCTGGCAAAAAGATATGTCCAAACCCCAAGTGCCTGCCTCAGAACATGACTTTATTTGGAAATAGATAATTGCACAAGAAATTACTGAAGATGAAGTCATTGTAGAGTGGGACTGACTCTTACTCCAATTTGACTGGTTATCTTATAAAAAGAGAGAAGATGATATGAAATGAGACATATAGAAAGAACGCCATGTGATGGTAGAGGCAGAGATTGGAATGACACTGTGTCAAGCTAAGGAATGCCTTGAATTCACAGTCATTTACCAGAAGGTTGCTAAAGGCAAGGAGAGATTCTACCCAGAATCTCAGAGAAAGCATTGCACTGCCAACACTCTGGTTTTGGAATTCACATTTTCAGAACTGGGAGAAAAAATGTTATGTTGTTTTAAGCCACCTAATTTATGGTACTTTGTTATAACAGCCCTTAGGAACCATCACAATGAACAAATAAAATTTAATAAAACCTCAGATACCATATGGACATATAGTTTATATATAAAACATTTCAATATCCACAATAATAGCAGTACCTTGGGTCAGAAAATAATCAGTGAAGTCCTTATTCATATGCAGATTCTTGGGGTTGCAGGTTGAGTTCCTTTGAACTATTGATGGTTATAGGTCTAAGTTTTCAGTGACTAATTTCTTCACGTATAATAGTTTGTTCCTTATTTTCAGGTCATCCTTTACCCTGCCTTGTGATTTGTCTTTACTTACTTGGATGTGCATTTTCTCAGGAAGCTAGCTTGAAGGGCACAGAGACCAGGATGGGAACAAGCAACGCTGGCACATGTGGCAAGTGGAAATGCTGGAAATGACAATGAGGGAGAGGAAATGATACATGCCTCATTTTTAGGAACATAACTGTGGCTGTTTAAAAAAAGAATGAAAGCTCATTATTCAATAATCCTTGTAAAAAATAAAGGACCTAGATGAAAGAGATGGCAGAGAGGCTGGAGAGATAGATGGTGCAGCCAGGGAGGAACACCCCAAA